GGAATCCTGCCACTGATGCGCATCTCAAAGTACAGTACAATGCTAATGATCTTCAGGGAAAGGCAGAGAATAAGGAAGATATAAGAAGGAATCTAGGGCTTTCTTCTGCAGATGTCAGGAGGCCATTGGTAATTATATTTTCTGAACATCAGATAATTAAGCTTGTGATGCAAGCCATCACCATACTGTACGATTTTTTTTCTTCTATGAATTGTCAAATTACGTATGATTTTTCTGCTGTTAAAGTCTAAATATGCAGGTATGATCTCTCACTCAATCCATTATGTCAATAATAATTTCATGACTTATTCAAGAAATCATACTTGGAAAAATCATATGTGTGAGAAAAAAGCAACATCGGTGATTTGAGATGTATCATGTATCTGTCTTCAGTATATATTATTATTATTATTATTTTCATAAGACTGTCTTCAGTAAAGATTATAAATTTATGGCCGTCTATTGATTCATCTTCTTACTGGATTGAGTGGTTAATTGGAGATATAGTTAATAACTACAGAAACTTGTGTTGTGGATTTTAATTTTTTTATTATTCTCTTTGTTCGTGCAATTCTTTTTCCCCTTCTGCTGTATCCCAGTAGCTCTGCATGCAGTTCCTTTTGTTTTGTCCCTTTTTTCTCTAGTAGGTGAGAGTAATGCTTTCTTAACAATTCATTTTTGCAATAACCAATGAGTCTTTAGCCTCTTTTTTTTCTGCTTACTTTTTCAAACCCCGTATGTTGTATATAGTGGTATCCATGTTCACTGTTTGATGGTCAGAGCCAGCCATGATTAAGTCAATATTTAAGGTTCTGCAGTTCTTATTTTATCTTTGGTAGTGCTATACTTACCTTATACTGGAGCTTTTGGTTGTCCCATACTCTGCATGTTGACATCTGTTATTCTATTTTTGTTGAGCCTGATCAATAATTGGTGAAGCAGCTTGAATTGTTACTTGAAACTGTTTGATCAATCCTTTGATAGGTAGGTTGCATAACACGATTGGTGCCACAGAAAGGTGTACATCTTATCAGACATGCAATATATCGAACATTGGAGCTTGGAGGACAGTTTGTACTTCTGGGTTCAAGCCCGGTGCATCATATTCAGGCACTGCTCTACCTTTCTTTGTGATATTATATTCTGGCTATGTTCGTTACTGTTAGAATATATTAGGTTTAGTAGAGTATCATGTTATCATCCTTTCTCTAATCAGTAACTGAAAGGTTTCTTATTGTGTTTTCTATTGTAGAGGGAATTTGAGGGTATTGCAAACCATTTTGAGAATCATGATCATATTCGGTTGATATTGAAGTATGATGATTCTCTTTCCCATTCCATTTTTGCTGCTTCTGATATGTTCATCATCCCATCTATCTTTGAGCCTTGTGGACTTACCCAGGTAAAGTCTGCTCTCTTGCTCGTGAAAAACTTTGAAGCACATTACTCACTACATCTTGCTGTCTTAACTTCCTTTTTTTCTTGTGCAGATGATAGCCATGAGATATGGTTCTATACCCATTGTAAGAAAAACTGGTGGTTTAAATGATAGGTGGGTACTCAATGCCTGACCTATTTATAGCTTCTACTAATGATTTAGGTTATTCCTTCAAGAGGAACCTTGAATTTCTTAAATACTTCTTGTGCAGTGTCTTTGATGTCGATGACGACACCATACCTGTTCAGTTTCGGAATGGATATTCATTCTTGAGTGCTGATGAACGGGTAAAGCTTCTACACAAAGATACTTTTTTCTTCTAATCATCTGGCATTGGTGCTCAAGGCTTTGAATTTGATATAAGATCCTTTGCCTCGTCTTTTTCCCTTATTTGTCTTGATCTTTCTCCACTTTAGTAATTGTGTCCTGGCTTGGAATGTGGACAGGGAGTAAACGGTGCTTTGGAACGTGCATTTGACCTCTATACGAGTAAGCCCGATAGTTGGCAGCAGCTAGTTGAGAAGGTCATGAATATGGATTTCAGTTGGGACTCTTCGGCATCACAGTACGAAGAACTCTACTCCAAGTCTGTGGCCAGAGCAAGGGCAGCAGCTCACACTCAAGCAATATGATAGTTTGCTAAGCTAGGCATTCGCTTGCTTTATTTTGCTGCACAAATTTGGCTTCGACTTTGATAATCTGGAGCTCAGACTGATATGGACGATATATGAAAGTTCAAGTAGCGAGAATGTCATCCTTATGAGTTCTGCAAATCCGGCAAGGGTTCAATGCTTGAAGCTGCAGAGGTGGTTTTAACAGTCGCTGCACCTTCGTCCAAATGTTCATTCTTTACATCTGATCACCATTTATTTGTTCATAAAACGAGTTCTAGTTGTTGTATACTAATTTTTAGGTTCTTAATTTGTTTGTTTATAACCTGTGTATACCTTCCGGTCACGGATGTGCCTTTTCTTTTAGGCTTCCACACTCAGAACAAACTTGGATGTAATACATCAGGACTATGTATATCTCTAAGCAAAATACGGCTGAGGTATGAGAAAATAAATAGTCAAAATCGTCTCCATTTTGAGCAATATTTATGGTCGTTTCGTTTGAATGCTTCAATCGTTTCTTCTTGTAACTTTTTACATCATTTTCTTTGCTAAGTGCAAAATTCGAGTAGCCGATAGGCTTGCTATAGCATGCGTATTAAACTTGGTACATGTGGATTTTTGGGTTGTGAGGTTTTAGGTGGCTCTGCAATTCTAATTGGTATATAAAAGACTGCATAAAGTACTATAAGGTCATAATCTCCCCTCTAATTTAGAGTATCGTTTGTACTAAAAAAAATTCAAGTTTTGTATGAAGTAAGCGACTGGAAAAATATTTGTTTCTTTGTTTCTTCGTAGTTAGAAAGTGATTAAACATGTTCATTTTAACTTCAAGTACCCTTTTACTTATTATTTCTGGGCAATAAGTGATTAGTTGCTCACGAAAATTAAAAATGGAAAATAGGCGCCCTTTTAACTAAGAAAATTCAAGTCATGTTGTCCATTACTTCGAAACAAATTTACATCATCACCGACAACAGTCTCCAAACAAAAGAAGAAAACAATTTCCCAGCTCACTTTCCGGGGACAAAGTTTGTGGCATACGCCCAGGCGTTGTTGTTGACTGGGTCTGCAAGGTGGTCAGCAAGGTTCTCCAATGGTCCCTTTCCGGTGACAATGGCCTGGACAAAGAAACCAAACATGGAGAACATGGCCAATCTACCGTTCTTGAGCTCCTTCACCTTGAGCTCAGCGAAGGCCTCTGGGTCATCAGCAAGGCCTAATGGGTCAAAGCTTCCACCTGGGTAAAGTGGGTCAGTTATCTCTCCAAGTGGCCCACCAGCAATTCTGTATCCCTCAACTGCACCCATCAACACAACTTGGGTAGCCCAGATGGCCAATATGCTTTGGGCATGGACCAAGCTAGGGTTGCCCAAGTAGTCAAGACCGCCCTCGCTGAAGATTTGGGCTCCTGCCTTGAACCACACGGCTTCACCGAACTTGACACCGTTGCGGGCCAAGAGCTCGGGGAAAACGCACCCAAGAGCTCCAAGCATGGCCCATCTGGAGTGGATCACCTCAAGCTCACGGTTCTTGGCGAAGGTCTCAGGGTCAGCTGAAAGCCCAGCAGTGTCCCAGCCATAGTCACCAGGGAACTCACCAGTGAGGTAACTTGGGGGCTCACCAGAGAATGGGCCCAAGTACTTAACTCTGTCTGGGCCGTACCATGGGCTTCCAGAGGCAACTTGCTTGGCCCCAGTTTTCCTCATGGAGACTCTTCCGTTGCCGAAGAGCTCGGTGGCTCCCGGAGCAAGTTGAACGGCCTTGCCGGCGAATGTTGGGGAAGAGAGAGCCATGGAAGCAGCCATTGCAAAACTAATGTGATACAAGTGGAAGGAAAGTCAATTAGAAGAGGAGAGGAGGATGATGGGTGGTTGTGATTGGGCTTCATGGGCTTAAATAGGACAGTTTCCTTATCCTATGAGATCAATTGCTAAATCCCCATTGGTTGTGACATTTTGAAGTTTGATTTCCTTTGTCTAGTTGGCACCTCTACCACCACCCCTTAACAATCGTTGGATTTTTTAGCGTCTAGTTGTTAGCAGACTGGTGTATCAAAAAAATCTCAGACATGTGCACCACTAGTTGGTCCAATCGGGCATTGCCACATGACCAATTGGATAGGCTTTCTGTGCTTGGAGATGGTAGAGGATATCCTCTGTAGGGCCAAACCCTAATTCTACCAGGCAAATGTACACTTCCATATTTCCAACAATCTTGACCACTCAGATAACTGCATGCATTGGTAGCCATGGGAATTTTCAAAATAACCTTTTTGTTTGAAGTTCATTTTAGTTTAATAACAAAGAGCAAATATCAACGGTCATTTTAGTGAAAGATTTTTTGGATCAACACATCCAAAGCTTAATTTAATCTGTTTCAAGTGAAAGTGAGTTTGACAAGTGGACCAAGATCAAATTTTACAAGATTCTTTTTGCCTTCTGCAGATATATTTTGTTCAGAGACAGAGAGCCTGCCTGCCATTCAAATTTGCTTCAACTTTTTTTTTTCCCTCTTTCTAAATGTGAAATTTTCACTCCCTTTTTACCATACCAGTAAATATATTGGACCATTGAGCCACAGTGGTTTTCGAGGCCCCCTTCCCCTGTGGCACCCGGGTTCGAAACTTGTGGTGTGCAATCTTGAGGAACCCGACCCAATGATTTACTCCCCCTCCGTATCGTTTGACTACGGTAAAATATCATATTAAGTGGACCAAGCTTATAGATTTTTTTCAAGATTTTTTCTATAGAGAGAGCTTCCAATCTTGTGGTAGAGTGCAACCCAACAGCTAAACGTGGATATTGGTTAGCCAAAGAAATGAATCCGACGACTTGGATGCATGAGAGCGTGCCATGTGGGCAAACAAAAACAAACACAAAATCTTGAAAGCCAATGAGATTCAAGCTTTAGATAATATAAGATAAGGAGCTTGGATATCAGCCCACTATTATTAATACGTACCAAATCAACCACCATCGATCACCACTCTCAAACTTCAACTATCAAAGCTAATCAAACTCAATTCTCTCATTCAGCCATGGCTGCCTCCACTATGGCTCTCTCTTCCCCAACATTCGCCGGCAAGGCCGTTCAACTTGCTCCGGGAGCCACCGAGCTCTTCGGCAACGGAAGAGTCTCCATGAGGAAAACTGGGGCCAAGCAAGTTGCCTCTGGAAGCCCGTGGTACGGCCCAGACAGAGTTAAGTACTTGGGCCCATTCTCTGGTGAGCCCCCAAGTTACCTCACTGGTGAGTTCCCTGGTGACTATGGCTGGGACACTGCTGGGCTTTCAGCTGACCCTGAGACCTTCGCCAAGAACCGTGAGCTTGAGGTGATCCACTCCAGATGGGCCATGCTTGGAGCTCTTGGGTGCGTTTTCCCCGAGCTTTTGGCCCGCAACGGTGTCAAGTTCGGTGAAGCCGTGTGGTTCAAGGCAGGAGCCCAAATCTTCAGCGAGGGCGGTCTTGACTACTTGGGTAACCCTAGCTTGGTCCATGCCCAAAGCATATTGGCCATCTGGGCTACCCAAGTTGTGTTGATGGGTGCAGTTGAGGGATACAGAATTGCTGGTGGGCCACTTGGAGAGATAACTGACCCACTTTACCCAGGTGGAAGCTTTGACCCATTAGGCCTTGCTGATGACCCAGAGGCCTTCGCTGAGCTCAAGGTGAAGGAGCTCAAGAACGGTAGATTGGCCATGTTCTCCATGTTTGGTTTCTTTGTCCAGGCCATTGTCACCGGAAAGGGACCATTGGAGAACCTTGCTGACCACCTTGCAGACCCAGTCAACAACAACGCCTGGGCATATGCCACAAACTTTGTCCCCGGAAAGTGAGTGAGAGAGTGTGAAGACATGTTGTGATGTGACCTCAATTGAGTGTTGGATTGGCATTTGTTGATGTTGTAGATTGTGTGTGAAGTCTAGTGCAGAAAAATGTGAATTATTATATATGTAATGCTGATGTTGAATGGAAGTAAATTTCTTATTTTTTTCTCACCATCTGTTATTTTATTTCTTGTCTCCTTTTCATTCTGCACTAAATAATTCTCTTCATCATGTGCTGAAAATCGAAAATTGAAAATTGAAACGACATACTCTGAAATGGGAGATGCGCGACCACCAGCGTCTCTGCACTACAATTTCTTCTCCTCCCTAAAGCAGGTTAATTTATTTCTCTGTTTCCCAGATTTTATTTTTTATTTTGGTTTTTTGGTGTGAATTTGTTTTTATTTTCTCGGAATTAATTCCATAGGTTGAGAAGAGGCTGAAATTAGAGAACCCATCTAAAAAATCCACTATCTCACCGTCACCACTGCCAGAAAGCAGCAAGTTATTAACAGAAGATTCACTAAGTTCACCCTTATACCTCCACTTGGACCAACCCAGCAACAATCACAGCTCAAACACACTGCAAGATAGCAGTGAACCTCCTCAAGCATTCCTCTCATGCTCCCCTCTTTTCCCACCAACCCAAGAAAACCCACCTCAACCCAATGCCCTGCATCACTCCAAGACCATCAATGACAATGAAGCCAGCTCAGTCAATGATATTGAACAGTTAATTCAGCTCTTGGGTTTATCTCATTGTCAAGAAGGAGAGGAAGAAAGGGCTGGTTTGGAATTGAAGGGTGGTGATGGTAGTGGTTTTGGTGGTAATTCTTGTCATTGTGAAGGTGGGTTTTATGAAAAGATTGTTGGGGTGAAGGGGCCAAAGTGTGGGAAAGAAGTGGAGAGGTTGGAAGGTTGGATTAACGACTTTTTGAATGGTGGTGGGGAGGAGAGCATTGAGCCTTTCAGGTTGGCACATTTGCTTTTGGGTAAAGCTGCTTTTGTTTCTGAAGGTGCTGATCATGGTTTTGGAGGCTTGGAATTCCCTTCAACTATTGGGGATTTTTTGCTCAATGATCCACCCCCAACAGATTGATAAGGCAACAAATAATTCTTCATTTTCTTATTACCTGTCTTAAATTGTTAGTGTTTCTGCATAAATCAACTTTATGTAAAGGATATTCACAATGATAATATCTGCAGGATTTCTTTATAAAAAGTAGTTATGTGACCCCTTTTTCCTGGAAGTTGTTTGATTGTGTTCGTAAGGTTGTGGTTGCAAGCAATGATTAAGTGAAAGATATAATCTTTCTTCATCAAATTTGGATTATTTCTTTTTAATGCTTCTAACCCAATTTTCATTAGAAAAGGGTTCTTTTGGTATCTAACTGTCGGACAAGAATTGATTCTACTAAACATTCTGAAAATTGAATTTGATAAGACAACGTTATTCTTCCATTTTTCCATCGCTGATGCAGCATTACAACTTTGATATTCTAGCCTGATGATTCAACTTTCATAGTACTGTGAAATATAATCACCATGGTTGCTGTACTATTTTTCCTTTTTCAGCTTCAAAAGAGTAGACAGCACCTCATTCATGTTAGGTCGGTTATCAGGATTTGGGTTGGAGCAAACCAAGGCTAGCTTAAGCAGATCTTCTGCAATTTCCTCCTGTTCCTTGGAGATATTTGAGGCTAGCATAGGGTCCAGAACTTGAAGAATATTCTTCATTCCATTCGCAAGGGCTTTCTCCACAAGTTGGTGCAAGCTCATTGGGAGCCCATTCTCTTCCATGAGTCCTGTTGGCCTCTGTTTTGTCAGGAACTCCATCACTATTATACCAAAGCTGAATACGTCTACCTTAGTCATGACTTTCCTCATGTATGCAAACTCTGCAGAGACATGTTTTAAGCAGGTCAGTATCATTGAAAGTGATAACATTGTAAGTTTCAGACAGATTAAAGTTGGAAATAAGGGCAAAACTCTAGAAGGAGAAAGACATATGTAAGGCATTTGCTTTAAATGTTGTTAGCGTTAAATTAGCCAAAAGTTTTTTCAAATGAGGGTGAGAAAGGCACAAACTGCATTGGATGATATCGGAGTTGCAAATGACTTTGGTCTGTGCTACAACTGGAGGTTGTAAAGGATACGCAGGAAAGTTCCTCATAGTAAATTGAAAAGAAAAAGGCCAGCTTAAGTTTTTTTTTATAGCATTTGACTGCATATCTGCATGCACACTATCCGCATATAAAATATAAGAAGAGGATCCTACTTTATCTTTTCACAAGTAGATAGCAGAACCTTGCACATACATAAGGAAATGACTGCAACAATGAAGAGAGAAAAAGAATAATGGAGGAAAGTTTTGTAATTGAGAAGAGCCAGCAAGAGGTCACCTGGTGCCAAATAGCCAATTGTGCCTTCAAAAGCTGATGCTGAGGAAAGGTTACTCCCATCCTGGAGATGAACTCCCAACATTCTAGCTGTCCCAAAATCACTCACATGGGCCTCCCAGTCACCGTCCAGCAGGATGTTAGAAGGCTTCAAATCGCAATGAACAATGGGAAAGCCATAACCTGAATGCAGGTAATCCAATCCACTTGCAATGGAAATTAAAACGTTGATTCTCTCAGATAGCGTCCATCTCCCCTGGTTCACCTCATCTTCATGTATAACGCTCTCCAGGTTCCCATTCTCCATGTATGTCAGAACTAAGGCCTTTAACTTCCTGCTCTCCCATGCATAGCCAAGTACCTTCACCAAATTCCTATGCCTCAGTTGGCAAAGTGTCTTGATTTCTCTATTGAAGCATTTATCAGATTCAACAGAGAACTGATGCAGATTCAATCTCTTTATAGCTACTGTCTGCCCATCTTCTAGTCTACCCTTGTACACAGTGCTCAAACTGCTTGCACCGAGAATATTATCCTTGCTGAAGAAATCAGTGGCAGTTTCTAAATCCTTTTGATCAAACCTCTTGAGCGGCAATGCTGAAGTGTACTCATATTCAGGATTCCCAAGCTTTTTAGATCTATGCAAGTTGCTGAATCGGTTGAGGATTAGAATAATGAACACTAGAACTAGAAGTATCGAAACAGATCCAAGCACCAACAGAATAAACTTGGTTTTCTTGGACAGCAGGTGTGAACTTCTCTTGCATGCCTTGAGAAATTTGTTTCCACAGAGATCTGGGTTTCCTACCAAGCTGGATGCATTTATTCGTCTGAATATTCCAGTGTCTGGAACATGGCCTTCAAGTTGATTGAAAGAGAGGTTTAAGTGTTTCAAGGTGGAACAATTGGCAAAGCTCTCAGGGATATTGCCACTCAGATGATTTTGAGAAAGATCAAGGGAGCTAAGATGCTTCAGGTTTGCCAATTTTTCCGGGATTTGACCAACTAAGTTGTTCCTTGAAAGGTTCAAGCTTGTGAGGATGTCCATCTGAGCAAAAGCTTCAGCTGGAAGTGAACCAGAAAGTTTATTCCCTGAAAGATCAAGAGAGAACAAGTTCTTGCAGTCTTCAATTGCTCTGGGAATGGTCCCTGTAAGATTATTGTTGGAAATGTCAATGGATTGTACCATTTCCAACATACCGAGCTCATCTGGAATGGTGCCAGCCAAGAAATTGTATGAAAAGTTCAAATATATCTGCATGCTTCGCATGGCTGAGACCACAGGCCCAGGAATGGATCCTGAGAGATTATTGTGAGAGAGATCCAGGGTTGTCAGCCGATTAAGGTGAGCCATGCTTTCTGGAATGTAGCCATTGAACATGTTATGCTGGAGGTTTAAGTATGAAAGCATCTCAAGTTTTGAGATATTAACTGGAATTGGTCCAGTCAGTTTGTTGTGCTGCAACTCGAGATTGGCTAGCTGTTTTAGTTCAAAAAATTTCTCAGGTATTGCTCCTTCTAAAGCATTGTGGTCCAGGGAAAGCCCTTGGAGGCTAGAGAGCTTAGATAACTGTGGTGGAACTGGACCTGAGAAGCTATTCTCAGCAAGTGAAAGGACGATAAGTTGGCTTAATTGTCCAATTTCTGGTGGAATAGGTCCGGCAAATGAATTTGAGAAGGTTCTCAGAATCCTGAGATTGGAGAGTTTTCCAATTCCTGGTTTCAGCAAACTGCTAAAGTTGTTCCGGGACAAATCTAGAGTGGCAAGACTTGTGCAATTGAAAAGGTCATCTGGGATTTCCCCAAACATTTTATTTGATCCAACAGAAAAGAAAGTAAGATTTGGCAACTGCCACAGACCCTCAGGAATTTTCCCAGTTATTCTATTGTAAGCTAAGCTTATAACTAGAAGATGGGTACAGTTTACAATACTAGATGGAATGGATCCCTCAAGAAGGTTATGGTTCATGGTCAGGTTTTTCAGATTATAAAGCATCCCTATATTCGATGGAAGTTCCCCTGTTAAGAAATTGATGCTCATTGACAAATATGTTAGATTTGTCAAGTTTGTCAGGGATGAAGGGATCTCTCCAGTAAACTTATTGGAATGCATGGTCAATACTTGTAATGATCTTATAGATCCAAGCTCAGATGGTATAGTCCCGGTTAACTCATTTTCTGAAACTCCTAAATGGGTTAACGACTTCAGGTGAAAAATGGAAAGTGGGATTGTGGAATTTAGCCTATTCTTGTACAATCTCAATGTTTCTAAGTGCACCAAATTTCCAAGCTCAGAAGGAATGCCTCCGGTGAACTGATTGACGTAGAGTTCAAGGTTAACAAGCTTCTTACAACGACCTAGTTCATGAGGAATGTTCCCAACAAAGGAATTCTGAAATAATAAAAGTGATTCTAAATTTGACAAGTTCCCTAGCTCCCTGGGCAGTACACCTGACAACTGGTTTTGACTCAAATCAAGAGCTTGCAAAACTCCCAACTTTCCCATGGAAGCAGGAATTGAGCCTGCCAATCTGTTGCCAAATGCTACAAAAATCTGAAGATTAACAAGATTTCCTATGTTTGATGGGATTTTTCCAGTGATATTATTAAAAATGACACCAAAGGCTGACAAGTTTTTGCAGTTACAAATGCTCTCTGGGATGCTTCCAGTCAAAGAATTATTACCTAAATCTATTTGTTGAAGATTTCTAAGGTTGCCTAGTTCTGACGGAATTGGACCCGAAAGAGAATTTTCATACAAGATAAGTTCAGAAAGTTGGGAGCAAAGTCCCAGCTCAACTGGAATATGTCCAGTGAATGAATTCAAAGTTAAGTCAAGAACCTGGAGGCCTGAAATGTTTCCAAGGAAGGGTGATATCTGGCCTTTGAGCTGCTTATCAACCAGAGAAATTGAAATGACATGATTTGTGGAAGGGTCACAGACAACACCAGACCAGTTGCAGTGATGGTTTGAATCTGATGTCCAATCTGCAAGTGCTCCATAAGGGTCACTGGTGATGGATTTCTTGAATGCCTTCAAAGCCTCAACTTCAAGTTCCAAGCTTGGCTGAGCTGATAGAACAGTAAATAGAGCAGAACAGACTAGGATTATGACCAAACTGAATCTTTGAGACAACATTTGTAATAAATAAAGCCTTTTGTATAACTGAGGATGAAGCCTTTATATACAAAACTTTAAGTTTAATTGATCAATGGCCCCCACAAAACTACTGTGGACTCATTAATCATCAAGTCCAATCGTCAAACAATGATCAAAGGAAGTTCTTTGTAGTATAATTTGACTTTGAACTCAACCCAACATCCACCAAGTATAAAAATCCAGAAAAGCTAGTTGCTTGCCCACCAACCATGATGGCATTTATCAAAGAAAAATCTCAGAGATCTCAACTCAAATCAAAATTAAGTTGATAATATTCCTTTTCATTCTGCCACTTAAATACAAAGACTCTTGGTGGGCTTGTGATTGGGGACTGTACTGGCTGTAGGGAGTGTGAATTCTCCCTTCTCAACTCTGTAAAGTGTGCTATTCTGGTTTTTTGTGGCTAGTTGCTAAACGCGGTTTCAACCATACAGTGTGCCCATTATGGACAACTTGCATTTAAAAAACCAGAGTAATGAGTTGGCTTATCTTTGAAGTTGTTTTTGGTGTGCTGAAAAGATGAGCACAAGAAGTAGAGTGTACAGAGAGTGGATTGAGCATGGCAGAAAATGACATTGAATTGAAGATAGAGATTCTCTAAAGTCAAGGATGGCGGTCACAGCTTTGTCCTTTGGGGTCTTGTTGATAAGGGGGGTAAGCATGCATGTTGCAAAATGTGCTGGTTTTTATTATATATACATATGAAAAAACAAGAGATATTTTTTCTCGAATTATGGGCAAATGGAATAACTCCTAAAGAAGCATTTCATGATGCCTTTGATTGATTTATTCAGTTTTTAGAAATATTTACCATCCGAAAAGAGGAAAAAATGGGGTCTTTGTGAAAATTGCACCGTGGTCATATAATCTCTGATTGTGTACAATCCACATTAACTTTTGGGTGTTAATAGTATTATTATATAAGCACAAATTGGATTAGATGAGTCAACAAAGTTGCAAATGAACTTCAGTCTATGATAGTGCTTTTTTTTTAAAAAAATTATTAAAATCAGTGCTGCAATGTATTAGCAGCCATCAGCAAAACCCAGAGAGAATGTGTTTTGTACATAAAATTCTGTCATGGCCACCTATGCCCTTACTTACATTGCTTGTAAGTAAAGGTAATCGTGGAGGAACAAATAGGGTTTTCCACCATATGAAGAAAGAAGAAGAAAAGATTAGTGGAGAAAGGCAACTCTTTATGAAAAATTAATGCAGTCTTTTCAGATCGAAAACAAGAAGAAAATGGATCCAAAACAAAAACAACTAGAAAAACTAAGGCTGCACTCCAGCACAGTCCTTCAAAAACTTAATCTTGATTTTATTGAATGTGACAACAACATCTTGCATGTTAATGCTCTCTTCTTCAAATTCTGCGGAACAAGCTAGAGCTAATCTCATAATGGATGATAAGCAATCCCTCCTGCTCACAAAATCCTGATCTTCCTCTATCCCAAATAAATCGGCATCCGCAACTTCAACTATTTCAGCATCTGGAAACAAGGAATTTGCAATCCATTGCTTTAAATTCATTTCACCAACAAACATCTCATCTGTTGGCTTTCCTTTTTGTGAATGTCTCCATCAGTACAACACCGAAACTATACACATCCCTCCTTGTTGAAACTACTCCTTCCATTCCAAACTCTGTGATATTATGTATGTGAATTTAGTTATATATGTCGAAAAAGAAATTAGAAACTGCCTTCCTCATAATTAAGGACATCATATGTAAAATTGATAAGTAAATTACTAAGTATATTACCTGGAGCCATATACCCAATTGTGGCTAGGGTCATGGTTTGGGTCATAGAATCTCCTCCACCTAAGAGTCTTGCAAGGCCAAAATCAGCAACATGTGCAACCATATCATCATCTAGTGGTATATTGCTTGGCTTCACGTCACAGTGGACAAGTTGCTGTGAATAACCATGACCGTGATGAAGGTATTCCAATGCCGACGCAACATCTATCATTTTATTCAACCTTTGTAGGATATTCAAAGGAGAATTTTGAGAGTACAACCACTTCTCAAGACTCCCATTAGGCATGTATTGGAGTACCAGGGCTTTGAAATCAATCTGACTGCAACAGCTGATGATTTTGATAAGATTTCGGTGACGAATATTGCTCAGCACTTCACATTCACTATCAAAACTCTTGAAAGCCCCCTTCAAGCTGTAAATTGAAAACCTTTACCGCAACATCTATCCCATCTGAAATTGTACCTTTATATACAACTGAGCCAAAAGCACAGTGCCAAGTAAGTTGCTTTCATGAAATCCATTCGTCGCCCTCAGAAGTTCAAGGTGTGAAACTCTTCTCCATAGAAGTCGAGGTAATAAAGGCAGTCTCTGTTGCAACTTCCACTTTCCTTTTCCTGCGCAGTATGAACATTGATACAGAGGCCACCAGGAGTATTGCTGATATGATCCCTGGAATAATATATTTCAAGTTGGATGTTCTAGCTTTCCTTGAAAAATCGCTAGGCAGGGCTTAAAGAACAAAAGAAAAGAACCAGACCCACCCTGGCACCCAGATCCGCCTAGCGCCGCCTAGACCCGCCTAGACCCGCCTAGCGACGCCTAGACCAACCTAGACCCGCCTAGCGCCGCCTAGACCAGCCTAGCGCCGCCTTGACACGCCTAGCGCCGCCCAGACCTGCCTAGCGCCGCCCAAACCCTTCTAGCGCCGCCCAGACCCTTCTGCAATGAGAGAGAGAGAGAGAGAGAGAGAGAGAGAGAATTAATATATGTTGACAGAGTTTCTTCTCATTTCTTGCCGCCCCTTCTAACAACTTTAAACCCTTACTGCGCAGCAGCCTCCTCCGCCCACCCAAAACCCATCGCATCACCATCCCTCCTCCCCACCCTCTCACACTTTGCATTAAACTTCTCTCTCTCTCTCTCTCTCGTACCATGTGTTTCCTACGTGAGAGTGCAATTTTGTGATTTGCCATCTTCGTGACACATATGGCCTTTTATAATTTTGAAGGAAGAGTTTGACATTTCTTTAATAGCAAATAGTGTAGCCGAGTGGCTATACATTTTTCAAAATAGTATAGCCGCTCGGCTATACTTTGGCATTTTTTTTTTTTTTATAAAAAAAATTAGTATAGTCGCACGGCTATACTTGTTTTCACACGTGGGCGCTCCGGCGCTAGGTGGGTCCCTTTTTTAAAATTTATAAATAGTATAGCTAATCGGCTATACTAGGGGATTTAAAAGCAAAAAAAAAAAAATAAGTATCGCCGATCGGCTATATTGGTTTTCAGACGTGGCCCTACAGGCGCTAGGCGGGGCCCTTTTTTATTTATTAATAGTATAGCCGTGCGGCATTAAGCAAGTATTTTTCTTATTATTATTTTTCATGATGTAAGCTAGTCGAATCAGTGCCTAAGCTCCCTACCATCAATTTCTCCATTGAAGTGTTCATGATCATGTGTTGCAGGTTTTGGTGATTGCATCTATGCCTGAGTCAAACCGAAAGGAAATGGTATTTGAATTTACTCATGAATGGAGAATTCATGACCAAAGAAAGCTCAAGCCCAGACAAAGAAAAGTCTTACACTCTCTGAAATTTATGTTTAACTTTAATTTTGTATTATATGATAGGGAAGACTGGAATTAATTGAACCTTAGTTGTAAGTTATAACTGTTGTGAATTAGAACCAATTCACCCCCCTTTAGACCTTGTTGTTGATGGACTTTGGACAAACTCAATGATGGATGAGTTTTACACACACACACACAGAAAATTAACCAAGCACAAATGACACAAGTGTTTATAGAGGTTCAGCAAATTTTGCCTACATCCTCTTGGTGATCCCCTTGAGAAATTTCACTAATGAAGATATGTTACAACTTTGGTTTACACAGAAAACCCCCTTAGAACACTACCCTCACAATCTGTTTCTCTCTCACCCTTAGCTCAACACCTTGATACACTTGAGAACTCTCTCTTCTACTAGACTCACTAGTTCCAGCTACTTTGCCTCTCACACTTTGCTGTCTTACTTCCTCTTCCCTTAAATACACAACCCCTTGGACTTGAGAAAAGCTCCATCACTGTTTACCCACGTTCTGCCCTTGTTTTACTGAAATAGATCACACTGGTGGGCGACCAGTCGTTTTCCACCCGCGATCGGTTGCAAAGAGCTGGCGACCGGTCGCTTGTCGACCTTGCTGCAGACATCGAATCTGCCTGAAAACGACCGGTCGCATGCTTCGTGCGACCGGTCGCTTTTGGGCAGAGTCTCCTGCGATCGGTCGCTTGAAACGGGCGACCGGTCGCTTCCTGTTCTGTCTCCGAAGCTTGTATCCTTTATGCGAGCCAATTTTCACAACAATAACCAAACCAAAGAAGCTGAGGCAAGCAATTTATTGTATGTAACAGGTGGCCCAAAAGTGCAAATGCAATCTGACTGTACTGGAGCATATCAAAATGTTACTCAGTTGTTCTTGCATGATCATTATGTGGCCTCCTCTGCAGCACTGCTACAAATATCCCATCTTCCTCTTCATGAATTAGTCAACCATAGAAATTAGACTACTTTGTATAACATAACATCAATGGCTAGGCTAGCTCTGCCAGGTCCTGTTATTTCTTTCCTGTTTCTGTTCTTCTTCTCGGGTACGGTAGACTCTTAAGCTACAAAGTTGATGTTTTTATTTTCAACAACTCTATAGAGCATTGCACATTGTTGTAATTTCTTTCCCCCTTTTCTGCTCTCTCTCTCTCTCTCTCTCTACATTTTCACCTATGTTCATCCATGACTTTTTTTTTTTGCAGGGGATATTTCGATGTTGGTGAATGGACAGGTAAGAATTAGAAAGAACAATTCTTAAATTAATTAGCAATTAATTTACATATATACATGGTGTTATAGAAAGCTTGGTGTGTGGCAAAGCCTGCAGCACCACAACAAGCACTGCAGTCAGCTCTGGACTATGCCTGTAACTATGCAGATTGCAGCCCTACAAAGAAAGGAGGCTCTTGCTATGACCCGGATAGGCCAGCGCACCATGCCTCATTTGCCATGAATGCTTACTACCAGAAGATGGAAAGAAACCAATGGAATTATCATTTTAACAATACTAGTCTCATTTCCTTGGCAGATCCAAGTAGGCCTTCAATTTCATAATAATAATTTGTTTCAAAAGTTCAGACTTTCTTTTTCAGCAAATTAAACATTTTGGTTCTATACCATTTTTGCAGGTTACAATCCCTGCTGCCAATTTGTGAGTGGTATGTGTCTATAACTATAATGAGTTTTACACATTTTCATATGCAAAAATATTTGTATAACTTTACTTTCACTTTCCCTTTTGAAATTTGTAGGAGGATCAGTATAAGTTAAACCAAGATTTCAAATAATCTTAATTATATCAAAATCATTTCAAATACTTAATTAAACTTAATTAATTATTATTATGTTGTGTTGGGTTTGCAGGATACTTGGTGTGTGCCTAAGCCAGGAACCCAGACTCTGCATTATAGAACATCATAAACTTCACTTGTGGAATATTAAAAGAATGCAGTGAAATACAAGAACATGGTTCATGCTACTTTCCAAATGCCCTCATAAACCATGCCTCATTTGCCATGAATCTTTACTATAAGACCGATGGACGCTACAATTGTGATTTCAATGGCGTTGGCCTTATCGTTGTCACTAATTCAAGTAAGCCAATTTGTTTGATAAAATGCACTGCAAAATCTCATGTTTTCTTAACATGAATTTAGCAAACAAAGTGTGCTTATTCTTGTATAGGTTGCAGGTTTTGGTGATTGTATCTATGTCTGAGTCTGCCCAAAAGGAAAATGGAAACTCTAATTTGATGATGCATCAGAATAATAAGTTTATTGTAATGTAATTTCCATCTGATGGATGATGAAGAAGGTCCGTTTTCTTTTGTTATCTAATCTAATAAATTTACCCCATTGAGTCCGATGAAACCTTCAACTTGAATGTCAGGATAAAATCCAATTCCTTGTTTAAGCGCACAGCAGGAGGTTGTTTACTTAGATCAAGTCCAGGCCTGTCAGGTCGGGTAACTCCTGCAGAACCTACTTGTACGAACCTACACGGAACACAAGCAAAGAGATTCTTTAAACACTAAAACAGAAAGTGCACCTAGCAAATCAATTATGTTTAGTGCTCAAAAGAAGATAATCCAACAAAATGAAAAGAATGTGAAACCTGGGAGTAATAGGCTCTTTTAGATATGCTCCTATGCTTGATAATGGGAGCTTAAATTCCACAAAAGTAGGATTCAGTTTCCCATCAAATTCAAACTTGCTAAACATGAGCTGCCATAATTTTGAATCCCATCAATAAACATAGAAGAAAATGAACTGAAAGAATAGACTAAAATAAAGTGGCTGCAGAAATGTGCCTGCAATAACACAATATTGTTGGGGTCAAGAGGTGGTGCATCTGATACAATTCTTGCTCGAAATATGGGCTTCAAAGAAGAATCGCTAGGCAGTAGGCTTAAAGAACAAAAGAAAAGAACCAGACCCACCCTGGCACCCAGATCCGCCTAGCGACGCCTAGACCCACCTAGTGCCTCCTTGACCTGCCTAGACCCGCCTAGCGACTCCTAGCGCCGCCTAGATCCGCCTAGCGCCACCTAGACCCTTCAAGCTGTAAATTGAAAACCTTTACAGCAACATGTACCCCGCCTGAAATTGTACCTTTATATACAACTGAGCCAAAAGCACAGTGCCAAGTAAGTTGCTTTCATGAAATCCATTCGTCGCCCTCAGAAGTTCAAGTTGTGAAACTCTTCTCCAAAGAAGTCGAGGTAATAAGGCAGTCTCTGGTGCAACTTCCACTTTCCTTTTCCTACGCAGTATGAACACAGATACAGAGGCCACCAGGAGTATTGCTGATACGATCCTTGGAATAATATATTTCAAGTTGGATGTTCTAGCTTTCCTTGAATTTGGTTGAAGTGTACTATTTTGGCATGGTGGAACATGGAGTTGGGCTTCACCATAGAGCGCACCATTCAATACCTTTTAAATATAATATATTGACATAGTATAACCGAGTGACTATACTACAGTATTTCCTTCTTAGGTTAATTAAAATTTTAAAATCTTATTTTTAGTAATTAAATAATATATTTGCATGATTGAATTAGTTAAATTAGTAATTATATATTAATTACTATTTATTTAGTGAATAATTAGTATTAAATATTATAATTAACTTCATGAATTATATTATTTAGTAAATAGTAATTCAATTTTTCTTTTTCTTTTTTTCCATTAATATTCAATAAGTAAATAAGAACTAAAACATAACTACTAACCAAAGTAATTAAAAAAGGGAAATACATATTGAGCCACTTTAAAGGGTGTGTAAAGTGGTATAGCCGTGCGGCTATACTGTTTTAAAAAAATTTAAAAACCGGGTATAGCCGCGCAGCTGTCAAGACAATTCTTCTTTTTTAAAAAAATATTTAAAACAGAGTATAGCCGCGCAGCTGTACTATTTTTTTTTTTTTTTTAAAAAAGGACCCTCCAGCGATTAGATGCCACGTGTCACTGCACTATTTTTGAAAAAAAAATCGTAGTATAGCCTCACGGCTATACTATTCTAAAAGGTCTATCTAAACTATTTAATAAATAAATTAAAAAAAGAAAAAAGGACCCTCCAAGTTCCATTAGTTTTTACTTTATAGATATTAATTTGCTAGCTTAAACTTATCCAGACTAGATATTAATCGTCCACTATACAATATTTTAGTATAATTTTTATAACATACATTATTCTTATGCAATAATATGTGAGAATTATTTGTATAATACGTGAATTTTGTG